TCAGCTTGAGCATTGCCCAGCCGTGCATGGTTTGGAAACCCAGGCCTGGGGTGAAGGATAACCTCCTGCATCTCGTGATCGCGCTTCGCATTTTCTAAGTGCATTCTCTTGTCACACTGCTGTTGTTTTCTCACCTTACTGACCACGAGAAGGTTCGCGATGGCACAAGCGAGCAGTATGGTTCCCACGGCTAGCGTGGCGATTTGAACAGCTGCTGTTGTGCTTGTAGTGCTATCACCTGAATAGAAAGAAAGAAGAAAAGATTGGACTTTATTGTGATACAGATTGTTAAGAACTATTCGAGGTAAAAGGAAAAGCCATTAGCGGAAAAAGAAAGAAGAAAAGAAGAAAAGGGTATTGTATACCATGCCAGCCGGATATTATTAATTACGACGTTTACGAATTGTAGTGCTTCCTCAGGAAACAAAAACTTCGTGACTTTTTCACAAATTTCCGCTGCTGTTCTGTAGTGCTCTCTCTCTCTCTCTCTCTCTCTCTCTCTCTCTCTCTCTCTCTCTCTCTCTCTCTCTCTCTCTCTCTCTCTCTCTCTCTCTCTCTCTCTCTCTCTCTCTCTCTCTCTCCTATCACAACGAGTCTTTACTTCATGTCCTGAATCACCAGGACATGGCCAAGGTGGAAGTCCGGCAGTCCCTACTGCTACCGTCAGCCAAGAACACCAAGGCATGGCACACAATAAACGCTCAGTTGAAGATCCATCTCACTCAGCATTTCCCAACCTCATACCTCAAAAACACTAACATCGAAGAGACTCTGGACAAACTAGAGACCTTCATTCACTTGTTTTTCTACCAGAAAACACCACCACCTCCACCAAAACACAAGCATGCAAATAAAAACCGTGCAGTGGAAAAACTCCGGGCCTACAGGCGTGATTAAAAGCGCCAGTTTCGTAAGATCCAAAACCCGGACGAAGTACCTGGAGCGCTCAGAAATGAGTATGTTTCAATTGGAAAACAAATCAAGTGTCCTTTGAAACAACAAAAGATGTACAACGATCGATTCCGTACCAGGATGCCTTTCTCAAGGACCCATATGCCTTTGGAAAGAAATTGTTTCACCAACCAACCATATTAAACCCACTTTCTCTGACACTACCTGCTTTGAGTACAGTCGAATGTCACTTATCCGATCACTTCGGGAATCAGGCATGTTGGATAACTGAGTATGTTGGATAACTGATATCATTTTTATGTGGATGTATGGCTAGATTTCACTGATTTATGTACACAGTACCCAAATATATTCATGCATATTCATGAATTGCTCCATGCTGAGCGCGACCGGCGACCGCCTTTTCTTGTCCCGAAGACGATTTTTGAACCGTAACTAGCGACCGCGATGTAGGAAATCAAATGTTGCTTGAAGCTCCCTCTTGAAATTTTGCTGATTTTTCATGGTCCTGAAAGGAATCTTTCAGTACTACAGCTGAACAAATGAATGCAGGCCATTTTGACTGTGGAGTCCGTGTGGACTGCACCACACCTGTCAGAATTTCAAGCGCTGTCAAGAATAAACATGAGAGGGAACGTCTTGGAGAGCGCATCGAAAACGCTCTCTGCTCGATGTTACTACTCGGAGGCGAAACGAAGACTGAGCGGCTCTGTCACCCCAGTCATACAAATGAATCGACGATGGTGTCAAGGAATCCAGAAACAAAGCAGCACCGCGAGGTCCTGATGCTGAAGGATCGCGTTCAAACAATCGAGAAGTCACAACAAAGGATAGTCGATACGATTGATTGCATGAACAAATTTGAAGCCCAGCGCAAAACGAAACTTCCACAGGGAACGTTTGACTCCTGGCTTCAGAAGTAGCAGCTGAATTTGATGTCTGCAAGCAAATGAATCTTCTCTCTCTCTTTCTGTCTCTCTCCATCTCTCCGTCTTTCTCTCCAAGTGTTGTTTGACCTGAATGAAAGGGGAAGTTGAGGCAAAAATTAAAATTTCACCAGTTGTAGTCTTCGGGGTGCTGAGTCGAATGGTCTTGGTCCGAGAAAGCTGAGACGCTCCCTTCCTACTTGAATCCCAATCGAACTCGCGCACTTCCACCGAAACTGGGTGACTGCGCCCTACTAGATGGGGATTTGTATGCAAAATGTCACTAAAAGCGCCATTTCGTTCTTATAAAAGAACGGACGACCACGATTGGCCCATATGTTTTAGTCTTTTGGATGCTGAGTCGACTGGTTTTGGTCCGAAAAGGCTGCGATGCAGCGTTCCTCCTTTATTCCCAATCGAACATGGTTGAACAAGTGGTCACGTGCTCCTGGGTGCCCAAATCACCTGGTCACCACGCCAGCAGGCGACAACTTTCACACCAATGTTCAACTCGAGTTCAACTCGAGTGACAGGACTGCACCCAAAAAAGGTCAAACAGGCTAGTAAGTTGTACCCTGCAGGCACGGTGACCAGGTGACTGGTGTGCGCAGGAGCACGTGACCGCTTGTTCAACCATGCTCGATTGGGAATAAAGGAGGAACCCTGCATCGCAGCCTTTTCGGACCAAAACCAGTCGACTCAGCGTCCAAAAGACTACAACATATGGGCCAATCGCGGTCATCCGTGCTTTTATAAGAACGAAACGGCGCTTTTAGTGACATTTTGCATACAAATCCCCATCTCGTAGGGCGCAGTCACCCAGTTTTGGTAGAAGCGCGCGAGTTCGATTGGGATTCAAGTAGGAAGGGAGCGTCTCAGCTTTCTCGGACCAAGACCATTTGACTCAGCACCCCGAAGACTACAACTGGTGAAATTTTAATTTTTGCCTTAAACCCCTTTAAGAATGGCATTGCGCAAGTCTGGGGAATAGATGACTTGCACAAAGATCCGAGCCGCGAGTGAGACGGGGCAAGTGCACCCTGTGCACCCAGGCTACAGCGCGGGCACTCTAGACCGTCTGTACTGTAGTGTACTTTTTTTGTCAGCATGAATTAACGGTGCACGGCATGTACAGGTACATGATCAGTACCGTCACTGTCTTCAGCAGCTCATGAGTCATGCATGTGCACTTGTAGGGTTAGTGGAAGTACATGACCGTATATTACATGTATGTGAAGTGAAGCCAGGCGTCCAAACCAACCCAAAATACTCTTGCCTTATTCTTCGGCGAAATAGTTATAAAAAAATTGTCTTACTAAACAACAGTGAGCATAGAAGCAACCTCGATGCACCCAATAATATGGCATCCGGGAACAGCAAGTGTTGCATGAGGATCCCAAGAACACGTCAAGTTCCATGCTACCCGCTGCCATCAAAAGAACGAAGGATAACTGTGCTAGCCTAGTTCATATTCAATGTAACGCTAACGGTACGGGATATAGGAGCCTGTTGGGAAGGCGTGGGTGAGCTGTAAAATCTTGTACGGTTCGCACAGCACAACATACATGCAGCAGTTATTGCGACGGTTAACGTCGATGGACGAGAGTCATAAAGCACAGTCAATGGGGTTGACGTTTCTGGGCTTCCTTTCCGAAAGGAAAGTTTTATTTCTTCTCAAATAAAGCAGAATCATGCTGATTACAGTCTGTTATGAAGACAAGAAAACAGCCATGGACATTGTGCCATACTAAAGGAACGACAGGTAAAAGATAAAGCACTTCATCTGAAAACTCAAGGACTATTCATAAATACAGCAAATGATAATCCTAGCCTGGTAATGTCCAACTCCGTCATGTGAGCCATTCGGTGAGTTTTCATGGGAAGCATAATGTTCGAAATGCTGAAATTTGAACAGGTGCATTTGTGTTCGTCGCCACACAATGCCATCGCCAGTTCACATTCGAAATGTAGCCATTTTTATGCTTCTGTCCCTGTACACGGCATGGAAGGCTGAACAGATTCAACTCTTCCATCGCTTCCTGATCTGTACAGTAGTGCGGTTGCGTTCCCGTTCCTGACACATCCGTCTCCGCTGAACCAGCATCATGAGCACTCCAATGGTTCCCGCCGCTCCTTCCGTATCGTCCCAGCGCGCACCGTCAAAATGTGAATTACTGTAGACAACGGAGCCAGTGTATGATGAAGGCGAATGCACTGTTTGATGATGCGCCAACAAATCCTTTCACCGTTGTATGCAATTTGTAAGAAGAGTAGTGGCTCAACTGTAGGTCCAACGCAGAAGGTACCTCACAGCGCAGTTCTGTTACGTCCACAATAATGAACATACTCAGCAGACTGTGATGGGTATCAGACACACTCTAGCATTATTTGTTCCACATTCTCCCAGGAGGAGATAACATGTAGTTCAATCATGTCTTCAGTACATGGGGTACCGTTGCCTCGTTGCAACTAAACAGGTATGCAAGTTACTTTCCCATGAAACCTAGCCGGAGCCGCATCGTCGTCATTACCAGCTAATCATGGAGAGGTATAATGTGACTTTCCACCACTCCCTGATTCAATCATAGTTTGCGAGCCTGCGCCAAACTGCTTTCTCACTAGAGCCAGGCATTGGATACATATGGCTTCAGTAAGGTTTACAATGCTATGTCTCTGGGCTAAGTCCAAGTCTAGATTCAGCTGCTCAGAGTCAGGGCTGATGAAATGTTCATATCGGAACAAGTGAGACTTCAACAGTAGCTAGTACACATCAGGCCTGAGGACTTCTCAGCGTTTCTCCAGCACACTTGTTCTCTCCTTCAACTCAGATACTACTTGAAGTACTACCAAAGGCCATCTGGCTCTCACACTCAGTCCTTCCACCCTTCATTTTCGTGGTTTGGGCTTCCACTCGTGACTCGGCAGGTTCCTGGCCCGGCTCTCCGCGGTTTGTCCTCAGGAGAGGGTCGCTCTGGAGCCAGTGCAGCCGAATCAAAGGGAATCGAGTTCTTTCTGAGTCAGACGTCCACAAACTTTCGTTGTGCTTGACTTCGCTTCCACTGCGGGAAAGTAGTCACACTTCAGGGCCACGACGTGCTTGTTGCAGCCTACACCAATGATACTAAAATAATGTTCCCTCATTTTTCTGCCTCCCAGCCGGCCGGTTCGGAAAGGAACGTATGGAATGGGAGCCTCAGTTCCATCTCTCGTCTGCTAGTGCATTCAGGAGCGCAGCAGCGCTTCGGCATGACGATACAAGCCGAATCAAAACAACTCTACTCTCTAGCCAAAAAAACTAGCTCAGTGTTCGTCAGGCAAAAAGCGAAACTTCGAAAGTCACGAACTCAAAAGGTGGGGGAAGTCAGAGTCAGAAGGTCCACTTGCCCCGTCTCGAACCCAGACAATCTTTGTGCAAGTCATCTATTGTATTAGGCTCATTTTGATATACATATCATATAATGGGATCCATATATGGTCGCACGGTGCAAACCTCTAACTAAAGACCACCTGCTACTAAAGACCACTTTTGCTGGCACCAAGGGGTGGTCGGCAGTCACAGGTTTTAGTGTACGATTCTGACATGTCGTTAGTTACACACTGCATGATTGGCCTGCTACAGTTCCCGACAGGTTAGTGCCGTATAGCCGCATCCGGAATGACCTCACTATTGAGCATGGTTGTTTGTTGTGGGGTTCCCGCGTCATTATTCCAGTTCAGTTTAGACGCCACTTATTACAGGAACTGCATTCTTCACATGCCGTTGTGTCTCGAATGAAGAGTGTGGCGCGAAGCATTTTCGGGTGGCCAGGCTCAGATGCCGATATCAAACGATTAGCCGCCGATTGCAGTCTTTGTCAGGAAAGATCAAATCTGCCCCGCAAGGATTCTGTCCACCATTGGGCATACCCCAATGCTGCTTTTGTGCGTGTGCATCTTGATTTTGCTGAGTTCGAATCGCAACGGTTTGTGGTCTGTCATAGTTGATGCATTCTCTAAGTGGATTGACGTATACGAGCGAGTTTGGTTCGTCCGCTACGACTACTAAAACAGTGAACTGTTTGCTACGGTTCATCAGTACATTTGGGATTCTTAGAGTGCTAGTATGTGATAACGGTCCACAATTTGCCTCTGGTGAGTTTGCTGCTTTCTGTGCCCAGAATGGTATTAAGCATCATCGAACACCGCCCTCTCATCCCGCCAGCAATGGACAGTGTGAGTGGATGGTACAGGAACTAAAGAAGGCTTTACGAGCAAGACCTCACCATGTGTCTGTGTGTGTGCAAGTGTCTCGATTTCTTTTCGATTACAGAAACACGCCGTACTGCGCTACTAAGCAGAGTCCCCCGAGGATTCTATTGAAGAAAGCCCCGACCACGCGTTTGGCACTGCTGCAACCAAGTTTCGCCACGGCTATGCAGCAGGCTCAGGATCGCGACAGTACTGCGCCTCGTGAGTTCGCCGTGAATGCACCAGTGTCGAAGTGGGTAGAAGGTCTGATTTGTAAACGGTTTAGTATGATGACCTATTCTGTGATGGTAGGAGGAGTCGTCCGAAAAGAGCACATCGATCATTTAAAGTCAAGAACAGCCGAGTCTGCTAGTTTGTCGGCCGAGTCCGATGCCATTCCAACAGTGTCTGCGCCGAGTGTTACACCGACAGTCGCTACAACAACTCCGACTCCTGAGTTACCAGTTTCACCGCCGGCTCAGTCGTCTACTTTCATGGATACAGCAGCTACTGCTACGTCTAGTACGCCTACTACTGCTACGCCTAGTATGTCTACTACTGCTGCTACTCCTGTTAATATGTCTGATGTGTCAATGCCTGTTTCGTCAACTCCAGTGTTTATCAGCGCTTGTAATTTGGCTATATTCAAGACGATCATCTGTGGCGTCGAGGGATGATGGCCCGCGTCTTCTGGGATGCTGGCGTCGCTAAGTGGTGCTGCCCCAAGAATCTTTCTGAGGTGAGGTAATGTTGTCTTGATGGAGTTTTGTTCGTAGCTTGTTCTTGTACGCTGTGCCGTGGCTCGTTTCTAGACCCATAAATCGTGCCAATAGTGGGCCGAAATTGAGGGGTATGGCAATTTCATGGTTCCCTTCAAAAGATTTTGCGCGGTCTTTGGAATGTCGATCTACACCCCAAAGCAAACCTACTTGAAAAATTTGAGCAAAATCTGAGAGATCGACGCGCAAATGTTCTGGTTTTCTCAGATATGCTCTCTAAAATTAATAACTTGGTGCAAAAAAAGGAAATTTAACTAATGATGCCCCAAAGCGCTAAATTCAAAATAAACTCATGCAAGTAGAGCACTGCACAAGTACGAGCCAGGTTCCAATTCCAAGAGCACTTCCTTGTGTGCTTGAACTCATACAACGTGATAATGTCTACACCAGATGTACAGGTGCAGACCAGTACCACTAGACTGCAATACTCCATCTTCAGTGTACACAGGCGCCATGACAAAGCATAATAACAGTGTCCTCGAGTCAAGTCCTCTTCAAATTCCGTACTCTTTCATATTCTTCACACGATTAATGGCACCCCAGATAAAACCATGATGGACTCACTTGCTTTGCTGGATGTCGACGATGAGAAAAGAGCTTCTCCACGCCAAGTTGGCAGACACACAAATGATCCATCGGTGTCAATGCACTGTGATGTGTCCGTACAGGGATTCCCAGCAGAGGTTTGACACTCGTTGATATTTTCACAAACGTGATCTTCCCCTAGGAGGACAGCATAATCATTGACAGTAACGAATTTTAGTGGCGGTGTTGAGGAAGAAAGTTAGAAGAAACTGCCCCTTGTCTACAGTTATTGTCAGTGCAGCTGCATATCCTTGCAGCTGTTAGTTGCTCATGCTAAACAGTCCTTTTCCAAGGCACTCTCAACAGACAGTTTTGTAGTTTGATGAGTTTACCGATTATAGGAAGGAGTAATAATTATGACAGGAGTAAACATAGAACAAAGCATACGAATGCCAAGCACCACTGGAGCAGGCTCTCTTTCTGTAGCTGATGAGTGATTCCGAATAATCACTACGGCAAAGAAACGAGAAGTTTGGAATAGTGAGTACAGTACTTCAAAGCACTGTAGTACCTTCCTACAAGTACAGTTTGTCAGTGTACAGTGTTGCCGCATCAGTACACCTCATACACACTCATATTTCACTTCCTATTCTATCGACATGCATCTACATCTCCTTTTCTATCTACATAATAATAATAATATATGTTCAGTCTTGATGTTCTCATCTACGAAATTTGGTAGTCGACAATGCCTAGTTTATTCCCCAGATTATATACGTCTGGTTTATGTTTTGTTCCAGCTCTGGAATTCAAGTCAAAACTGGTGGTTGTGGATTGGCTCAGACCATGAAGTGTTTCCCAGTTTTTTTGGGTATTTTGAAGTACCGTGTGATGTTGAAACATATTTTGGAATATGTGGAATCTATAAAAAAATAGAAATAAACATCTAGTATGATCTACACCAATCACATTGATACGCATGTAAATAGTAGATACAATTATGTCTGCAGAACTCGATGGATCCAAGCTAGCCCTCGGCGGATACTGCTCGAACAATTGGCAGGTTCTGCTCGAAAAGCAGTGAAATTGGCAGAACCATACAAAAATCAAAGCACATACTTCCTTGAATTCGGCTCCATTTCTTTACCAAAATACCAAACATGCATGAAACACTCCAGAAAATGGACCAAATGTTGCCAATTGTTCTGACAGCATTATCCGCCACAGGCTACTCCAAGCCATCCCAAGGCATATTCATTGTGTCGTGTTGAGTTCTGTTGAAAGCTATAATTATTATGCACCTGCTTTATAAAAGTTATACTTAAAGAAGGACAGCCGTCAACAGCAGTGACAATAGTGATCTCAATAGTTATGCGATGGTATCCTACCTTGAAGGGAAAATCCCGCCTTGCAAACGCATCGATAGCTTCCTTCAGTATCATTGCAGTGCTCGTTTAAACCGCACATCACACTTCCACCATGGCATTCGTTGACATTTTCACACAAGACGGACGTGGATGGTGAGTAGCTCTCAGTTTGAGTTCGCATGTCCTGGTAACCCGCTTGACATAGGCAATAGTAAGATCCAACCAAGTTGCGACACGCTGAGTTACGCGGGCACAGTTCAGTGCTGCTGCTTGAGCTACATTCATCCGAGTCATTGCACCGGGCAAGCCGATCTGAGAAAAGGGATGAACACGATTCCCAGCAGGATAATTATAATACGTGCTTGGGGTGTAAATCGTATAAACGGCGGCAAAGGGACAATACTAATTGGGAAAGCACATGTAATGTAGATCTTCAATGTGTATGCCTAAAACCGAACACAATGCTTCAAAGTACATTTGTGGGTTTCCGCTTCCGTGGTGATGACGGTAATCTATTTCTGCAGAATTTGTTCCTTTCAATTCCTTCAAGCAAATAAATTCAACTCATAATAGTTTTTACAACGGTTAAGTAACTGCACTCCATAGTCATACCCAAGACAATCCATACGTTGAATTCGAAGTCAGAGGTATGGTCTAGCGACCCAATAGTCACAAAATGATTTTTGGGCATCTATTATCAACATGCGTTTAGGCTAGCGTCCAGCACTGCAGCTCAAGATAGACCTCAACCTGTCTGCAAACACACAATGTGTCCGAGTGCTGGAGTTGTATTTCTTCCTCTGCGTCATTGAAAATTTTGCTTCGCACATCGCAATGTTTGTGACTTGCTTGTCTTGGTTGGTCTGCCTGAATCACTGTGTTCTATGTTTGGACATTGCTACGACCCTTCCTACACATTATCTATATCCATATAAAAACCGCTCTGTGAGCGGTTCTGAAAAACCTTTACTGGTACTGCCCCGTCGTAAAAGTAAGAAATTAGAACTGGCTCATTGTCCCCCCAAATTCGAACTGATCCACCTAAATCGCGAATGACGGGACCCGAACGCACCAGTAGCACGAGGTCGCGAGGACACAGGACAGCAATTATCATAGGGTAACACCACCTACCGCTAGTGCAGTACATGGCCTATACTCCGGACCAACGTCCCCATCTGCATCCACAGGTAGGAACCTCGTGCTACTGGTGTGTTCGGGTCCCGTCATTCGCTATTTAGGTGGATCAGTTCGAATTTGGGGGGACAATGGGCCAGTTCTAATTTCTTACTTTTACGACGGGTCAGTACCAGTAAAGGTTTTTCAGAACCGCTCACAGAGCGGTTTTTATATGGATAATTTCAGTTCTTTTTCCGTTCCCTCCCCACCCCAACCCCGAAGGTAAACATGATGACCACGCGTGCGATGTACTGTAAGTAGCCATGGGACTACAGTAACACGCTGATACATACCAGCCCTCCCCGCCTCGCTACCCCGCACACAGATACACAAACATGCGTATGCACACGGCACAAACACGTGGCCACGCACATGCACACGACACAAACAGGAAATTCTTCATATATAATGCCATGCAAAGCAGTGGCCACCGTACTTGAGGAAGTCAGTTGTGAAACAAAAATAATTCAACTACAGCGCGTAGACAAGCTGACAGCCAAAGCACAACATAGCAAACATGACATTTGCCCAAGGATTGCAGTTTGCAGACCACGCCATGGAAGCAGCGAATATAGAATGTAATATCATACAAAGTGACAAGCAAGGAAATGGCCATCATACACCAGAAACTTGCAGAAAGTCACACATCCAACAGATAGAGAAGTGAACAGCAATCTGATACAGCCCACACAGGACAAAGCTGACCTGATACTCGTCCCAGGATCGCAAGTGGCAAATCCTTTTCAATGCATAACATGCAGGTGTACGTTAGACGCATGGACAACATCTGACCGTGTCGCCAGCATACAATGTCATCACATGTTTACCCCACAAGTTACACACATGCACAGTAGAAGCACAATGAAAGCAATGGAAAAGTACAATGTGGTTGCTGAAGCATCTTCACACTTCAAATTCAGACTTCAATGTGGTCATCACGGGATGGTATACCTGCAAGATACAAGTGATGAAGAAAGAAAGCAGAAGGTCGTGAGGTAGGCTATGAGTAGCCCTTTCCCAAAGATGCCATAGTTTTTCGCAACTTATTCTTTTCGCAACCGTGCCAAAACAAGTGCTAGTTGCTGAAATCGCATCCATATTTTCAGAAAAAAGCTCAAAAGTTGCCAATATCGCAACTCAAAATTGGAGAGTTCTTGTGCAAAACCTACAAAACAAGGAGCAGAAATAGATGAAATGCAGCGATGCTGCGACAGCAAACTCGTACACCCCTTCCTGCTGTGAACCACCACTTTACACATTGCCAGTAGCCTGTTGCATGTATCCTACATGTACCGTAAAATCCCGCCAGAGCGCCCCGTCTCTCCTATCCGCCCCTCCCTGACTTCTTGTCAGGGACGTGATTTCTCGTATCTCGGTCGCAGTCTGTGATGCCGTACTGTACTGCAGACGCGTGCTCAACCCCGTTGGAAGTGTACGCAACAGTGCCCACCCTCTTGACCAGGGATCGCACAAACCCTGAGTTTTGACGGGTCTGTACGACTCGTGGCTCTTGACCTTTGGTCGGTGTACGAGATGCACGAACAGTTTTCGTAGGGTGAGTACTTTTTCATGTAGCACTGAATGCGGCAAGTTGGACTCGCCCATCCGCCCCTCCCCACCTGAAGCGTCGAGGAGGTAGGGGCGCTCTGGCAGGATTTTACCGTACATGTACATCATTACAGTGCACGTAAAAGGGAATGCACATAAATATCATAACTACCGTTGATCTACTGTTTCTCAGAAATGAGCCTGAAGGCAGGCAAGAAATGAGCGAGCACGAGTATGTATTTGTCCAACAATGCAACATGTAGTCGGTGACTTGACCTTTTGACCCCATGCCATGGGTCAATTGCGCCAAGGTTGCGGAGAAGTTGCGAAATAGTTCCTGAAAATGAAGAAAGTTGCGAAAGTTGCGATTTCTTCCTAAACAACGAAAAGTTCCGAAAAAAGTGGCCAGCATCTTTGGGAAAGGGCTAGCTATGAGACACCACAAACGGGTCACCTACATTTATGTTCAGGGCTAGTGCACTCACATGCAGAATTGTCATAATCGAGCATTTCCCAAACTGAGAAGTGCAATGAAATCCACTTGCATGCACAGGAGCAATTTTGCAATATTATGATGCGCAATTCGACACGATCTGCGATGCTGCGTGCGATGTGCCCTGCTGTCATGATGGTGACAGTCACCACGGTATGTTTTGTTAACGTCGCCCGTGCACTCTTCTGTCAAGTCCAAAGTGCTCACATACTTGGCAATGTCTTTGCAGTGATTAACTTTTATCCTAGTTATGTCACGGGTAACTTTAATGAAGTACCCGCAGGCCGTGTTGATCCGCACATCGTCCACTCTCTCATGTACTTGGCCTGCTTTGTCTGTGTGTCCATTTCATGTGCGATCCACAAAATCGACTAGACAGTGGGTGCAATACGCTCTCTATCTGAAGACGTGAACCATTTTAATATTTTGGAAAAGTTGTACGTACATCTGAAACGTAATGAAGTACAGGAATAGAGAGAGTGACTACAATACGCTCTCGACCTGATATAGTGATAACGTGTTAGAAGGTAACAGGTCTACAGTCCCACCGTACCCTTCCGACACGGCTGTAGACCATTAAATTTTTTTGAGAAATTATGCGTACACCTTAAACGTAATGAAGTACAGGAATAGAGAGAGTGACTACAATACGCTCTCGACCTGATAACGTGAGTACAAGACACTCTCCACCTGATAACGTGTTAGTAGAAGGTAACTGGCAACATATCAATGGGTTGCCTTACCGTGGTCTAGAGGAGACGTCTTCGCAGCAATATTTTCCCTCCTGCGCATTCAGTCGCCGACGCGACAGCGTTTACTGGGCCGTTCCAGTTGCGGAAGACATTCGATTCATCGAGCCAATTCAGCAACAGGGCCGTGGACACACAGGAGGCAGAGGAGAGACATTGTTAGTGGACAAGAAATATGCAGTGGCAAGTGGCGAGTGCCGCATGGATGTCAAGTTGTCATGCACAATTCAGCTATTACTTACGGTCCAGCTAGTCCTGCCATTGCTCGCTCGTCCTGGTTCCTCCTCGTTCGTCTTCCTGCACGTCTGCACTTCTCCTTCCCCACCGTTGGCTTTGCGGTACGGGGGTGCCGGAAGGAATTCCCACCATGTATCCATGTACATGAAGTCCCACCATGACTCTCCATGTACATGTCCACGGCCACGTCAGCAGTTTGTATAGTACCGGAAAGAGTTCCCACGATCTCTCCAAAGGCCTAGAGCGGACGTCTTTGCAGCAATTCTTTCCGCCCTGCGCATTCAGTCCGCCGACGATGTCTCCAAAGGCCTAGAGGGGACGTCTTTGCAGCAATTCTTTTCACCCTGCACATTCACTCCGCCGACACGACAGCGTTTACGGGGCCGTTCCAGGTGCAAAAGGTCCACGTCAGCAGTTCTCAACTATTTCGCGTATGGGATAGTCGCCGCGACAGCGTTTAAAGGGGAAGTTAAGGGAAAAATTAAAATTTCACCAGCTGTAGTCTTCGGGGTGCTGAGTCGAATGGTCTTGGTCCGAGGAAGCTGAGACGCTCCCTTCCTACTTGAATCCCAATCGAACTCGCGCACTTCCACCGAAACTGGGTGACTGCGCCCTACAAGATGGGGATTTGTATGCAAAATGTCACTAAAAGCGCCGTTTCGTTCTTATAAAAGCACGGATGACTGCGATTGGCCCATATGTTGTAGTCCTTTGGACGCTGAGTCGACTGGTTTTGGTCCGAAAAGGCTGCGATGCAGCGTTCCTCCTTTATTCCCAATCGAACATGGTTGAAGAAGCGGTCACGTGCTCCTGGGTGCCCAAATCACCCGGTCACCACGCCAGTAGGCGACAACTTTCACACCAAGGTTCAACTCAAGTTCAACTCGAGTGACAGGACTGCACCCAAAAAAGGTCAAACAGGCTAGTAAGTTGTACCCTGCAGGCACGGTGACCAGGTGACTGGTGTACGCAGGAGCACGTGACCGCTTGTTCAACCATGTTCGATTGGGAATAAAGGAGGAACGCTGCATCGCAGCCTTTTCGGACCAAAACCAGTCGACTCAGCGTCCAAAAGACTACAACATATGGGCCAATCGCGGTCATCCGTGCTTTTATAAGAACGAAATGGCGCTTTTAGTGACATTTTGCATACAAATCCCCATCTCGTAGGGCGCAGTCACCCAGTTTCGGTGGAAGTGCGCGAGTTCGATTGGGATTCAAGCAGGAAGGGAGCGTCTCAGCTTCCTCGGACCAAGACCATTCGACTCAGCACCCCGAAGACTACAACTGGTGAAATTTTAATTTTTGCCTTAACTTCCCCTTTAATGGGTCGTTCCAGGTGCAAAAGGCATATCCATCAATGGCACTTTGCAGTACAGGGTACGGAAAGGGGCCTCCTCGCTCGACTTCGTCGACTTCTGCAGTTCTCCTTCCCGTCAGGGGTACCGAAAGGGGCCTCCTCGCAGTTGTCCTTGCCGTCAGGTCCACTTCATGCAGTTCTCAACTATTTCGCCTACAGGATAGTCGTCTTTGTCGTACGCGACATCGGCGTTTACCGAGTGTCATTGGCACAAAGCAGACCGTTGACGGGGTCACGTGTCAAAAAAGTATCAACAACGTGTCGACTAAGTGTCGACCACGTGTATAGCGGTACACTCAGCGGTACACTAATTCTCGTGCCATTCTCGTGTCACAAAACTGGAACATCGAGTACCAGTATGGAAAGGCTTCAGACAGGAAGCCCTTCCAATTTGCTACGAAAGCCGTGGTGGTCTCGGAGCTCTCGCCCGCACCAAGCAAATTCAGCGCGCTCCGCACTATTTCAGTCCCAAGGCGTATCTTTTTCTGGAGTTCGTGCCGGTCCACATCGTTTGAGTGGACATTTGTCAAGACTACAAGCTCCGGTAGAGGAATCCTGGTATCTTTCCTGAATCTTTAAATGCTGACGTTGAAGATGGCAAGAATAAAGAGTTCTCAAATTTCTAAAAAACACGGCGTGAGGCGCATGTTGCTGCAAAGGTAGCAGATCTGAAAACAACAACAAAATCAGAGAAGCGCTTGTCGAGGAGAGAAGTTGCGGAACGGCTTGCTACCTGGAGGCATGGATTGCTTGAAAACGAAGTTTCATGACCTGAATTTGCACGCCCTTCTTGTTCAGCGTCTTGTTGAGTACTGAAGGGTGTGCCTCAAATTCTGATGGAGACGTCGACCTCAGCCGCAAGTGCAGCAAATCAATAGGCCAGAAATCCAAGCTTAGTTCGTCGACAAAGCTCTGCTTCAAGTTTTAGCTGATTTCTTCGCCTCGAGTGGACAAAATAGATTTGAAAAAAATCGCTCTGGGAAGCAGCCATTTTAATGGCGCGGAGGAAGTAGCATTCTCCTCAAACCAGCATGTTGAGAGTCGATACTGTCTGCAAACACCACCAACCTACCTTGCCAGCGGAATCCCGTTTTGCACAGACATTGATATGATCCCACGGTATCATTGCATTGCATATCAGCAGAGCACGTAGCCTGGCCATTACAGCATTCATCAATGTTTTCACAACGAGGAGATGTTGGCGATGTGGGTTGTAGGATATCCTGGAAGCCAGCATCACACCTACACTCATACGACCCGATTGTATTTAAGCAAGTTGAGTTCTGTGGACATGTGACAGCACTGCTACTGGTTAAGTTACATTCATTGTTGTCCACGCATAGTCCTCTTGTTTCTGGTAAGGAATGAAATAAAGTACATGACATTATTGGTAAGCAGATGAGCAAGGTGCTTCTGCTTTTGTGAAAAACTCTGATCTTGAAACTTTTCAAATTTCTCATGCTCCTTCTTCAATAAAAGTTAGTCTTCTTACAAAAAAATCACACTGCATAAACGACCAGGTAATTCGTGCTTGATTCCATTATCTGCAGCGGCGGATATGAAGTGATTTTCACTGATCAGTGATCCAGAATGACCAATGAAGGATATCGAACATTATTTTTGAGCACATTCCTCAAACGGCAGTGAGCACAATCATAATTACTCCACCTCTGTGCAGGATCATTTAAAAATAATTTCAAAGATAGCCCTTACCGGAAAATCCAGTTGAACATTGACACTTGTACGATCCCGGTGTGTCTATGCATACTTCGTTCTTTGCACAGAGTGTGGAGACATTAACAGCACATTCGTTGGCATTCTTGCAACCTCCGTGTAATCCTAGCAGCACAGATATGCAACCATATGAGAGTACTGAAGACAGTTTGAGGTTAGCAGCCAAGCAGGCGACATCTGCTGCTTGCACAGACCGGTGTTGTGCATAAAAAGTACGATTGCACAACGCTGTGCTTAGCCAGTACGATTGCGTAATGACGTGCTTTACAGCCAGTGTGCCCCACAATAGAGAGAAACAAGTGGTCCTCCCTCTGCCGGACCTCCTCCATCCATACTGGCCAACCCTCCCGTTTTTCCCGGGAAAATCCCGGAAAATCAACACTCCTCCCGGGGTCCCAGGGATTTCAAGCAAACTCCCGGAAAAACCAAAGTTTTGTCTGATACAGGATTTTCTCTGAAAACTCCATGGTTTCTGCCCGAATGTCCCGGTTTTTTGAACTTTTTTCAAAGGTATGTACGGTGCTCATTCGCACTTCGAACTGTGCACAGCACTTTGAAGACCTGACCATGCCTGCAAGATCTGCACTGACAAAGTGACAGGCGGGCGCCGACTGATCAAACTGTACTACAGCCTAGGGTCGATCTGTGCTGTACGCACAGCTGCAGAGTCGAACGTTTTTTGGCGGGAAAAGCTCTTTTTCACTTGTTTTTGTGCCATCCAGGGATTTTGAGAGAAATCCAGGGATTCTGCATGTCTTGTCAAGGGATTGAGATTGTGGTGGTTGGTCAGTATGTCCATCCTGCCGTCCCTTCTTGAACCGCTGGAACGCGCAATCAGGAATCGGCTCATCCCGGCCATCACAAGTCAAGCACCACCTGGTACAACTGTTCGCTGCCTACTCTCTCTGCCTTGCCGGCTTGGGGGACTGGTGTGGCCAATCTCTGTTCAATGGCTGAGCAGTACACCTCGTTCAGAAGGATCACGGCTAGCCTCGTGTCTTGCCTGCTGGAACAAGAGTCGTTTCTTGGTGACTCTCTGACTCAGCTCCGGACGGTCAAGGCGACGGTTCGTGCCGAGAAGTAGAGTGCGGCCAAGTCCATATCTGACGCCCTTTGCTCGGATCACCGGGAGCTGGCCCCTGTTCTCGACCTGGCCTCAGAAAAGGGTGCATCCAGCTGGCTGACCTGCCGCCCCCTCAGCCGCCATGGCTTCATTCTCACCAAGGAAGACTTCTGGGATGACCTGTGCCTCTGGTACGGCTGGACACCTCCTCGGCTCCCAAGCCTTTGCGTGCGCAGTAAGCCGCTGAATGTGAGTCATGCCCTGTCGTGCCCGTTTGGTGGCTTCCCGACGCTGCGACATAACGAGGTGAGGGACATCACCGCCAGAGCTCGGAGGCAGGTCGCTCATAATGTGACGGCGGAACCCCATCTCCAGCCCGTCACCGGAGAGGCCTTCCGCCATCGCACGGCTGTCACGGAGGAGCAGGCTCGGCCGGACGTTGCGGCTAGTGGCGTGCGGGGTGGCCGATTCGAGCGCATCCTTTTTGATGTACAGGTGTTCAACCCTTTTGCATCTTCGAATTGTGCCACCTCCCTCGCTGCTAGCTACAGACGCCAAGAAAAGGAAAAAACGCTGGAAGTACGAAGAGTGAGTACACGAAGTCGAGCATGCCTCCTTCGTGCCAGTTGTGCTTTCTGCCTCTGGTGGCTATGGCAAGCATGCCAATGCGCTTTTCTCGCGGATCGCCTCTCTCCTGGCTGAGAAGAGCAAGGAGCCATACGCGCAGATTATCTCCTTGCTGCGCTGCCGCCTTGGGTTTGGCCTGGTTTGTTGTGGTGCATTGTGCCTGCGTAGCTCAAGGAACATGTTTGCTCCTGCCGTGCCTGAGTCCCCTGCAGTGCTAGTGGTGGCTGAGGCACGCATCCAGTGAACCTGCAGTGATCCTACTCCTGAGTCTATATAATCATTACTATATCCGATGATTCGTTTCATCTTTTATGTAATTGTGTTGATACTTCACAAATGTGTTATTTTACCCGTACAAGGGGCTCAAGGAGTCCATTCCTAAAAAGAGAACAATAGAGAGGTTCCTCAGAAACTTAATTACATTACCGTATTTCCTCGATTAATGGACCATGCTCAAATAGTGGACCCTCCTCGAGGCCTCACGGAAAAATCGTAGACCATGCCCGAATAAGAGACCAGGTCTCTTATTTGAGTTCATCGCTTTGCGCATGCACACTAAGAAAGCACGTGGTGGATCAAAAAAGACGCGATTTTAGGTTGCGCAACTACAATTTTTGTAGTGGCTAGTGCTTTCTTTCATTATTTGAGCACGGTCCATTATTTTCATCGGCATATCGCTGGAAATGGTGGATTTTTAACACATCTTAATATAGAATTTCTATATTATGACGTATTAAAAACCCACCATTTCCAGCGATGTGCCGATGAAAATATAGTGGACCGTGCTCAAATAATGGACCATGCCCAAATAAGAGACCGGGGGTCCAACCCTCTTCAAAAACAAAAGACCGGGTCTATTAATCGAGGAAATACGGTAGTTAAAAAGCGTCGTTGATCTACGGAAAGGCTTATGTACACTGCATGCGGATCTGTGTTCCGCCATACGTAATTTTTCATCACGTAGATGCTCTTGGCAACTCGGAACGCGGCAGTGTACGACCGGGTCGACCTGGGAAGGGCGTCATATATATTGTACGCCAGTCCACTTACGGATCACCTACGTTATCTTTACGTAGACAACTTTCCGTAAGTAGGGTGCAAACTCGCAAATTCAGGGGGTTTTCCGGCCCACTAACGTAAAGTTGCTGAACTTTACGCAGTGTGGACCGTCTCTAATCCTCAAACTTCGAACGTGCCATTGCAAGAAAACTACACTAGACTAGAAAACAGAGTATTAGGCCACACTGAAGAAGGTCTGTGGTTCGACTCACCCGACCGACCGTACAATTTCAGCCCGACCGTAACTTTTTTTCGGCGGGCTGTCGTGTGACTGACGTACGTGGACTGAACACGTCCACGTCTACGTGCTGTGCAGCGTGAGTCTGCGGACGCAGGCGGCTCCTTTTGGACTTGACTTGTAGTTGTACTGCAGTGCAGTGCAGTGAGTGGTACGACTGCTGCCTTGTGCTGGTAGTAGAGTCTACTCGATACGCGTATACAGTGTATTTACATGTACTAAAAACTATATTTAAAAAAAAAAATCCGCCCGCCCGCCCGTAAAAAAAATGTCCATGTTAGTCGAACCACACACCTTCTTTAGTTTGGCCTTATGAATTTTTGCAGCATACTCTAACATAATTATGACCTTCTTTCTTATTTTATGAGTCGTGTGGAAAGTTGGAAACGTATTTCTTAAGTGTTTCCTACATTGCACCTCTAAAATTCTCTTGGCTACATTATAGACAAACAAATAGAAGTCAAACCGGTGGACCATTATAATGAAGTTACCATGGGAGATGTTGTCTCATAACCACTTTGCCATGAACTCGGCTAGATACGTTATGTGTTCTCAGTGCACCTGGGTCAGTGCGTCTGTACATTTACATGTATGTTTTACTCACTGAAGTATCCTTGCTTGCATTTGCAATTGTAGCTTCCGTACGTGTCTTCACAAACTTCATTCACTGCACATAACGTTGAGTTGAGGCATTCATTGAGTTGCTCGCAGGTGGACCCATACTTGGACAAACTGAACCCTGCTTGGCAGCTGCAGCTGTAGCCCAAGGTTAGGGAGATCAGTGTGCAGGTTGGGTGGGCGGAACATTCTGTGTACAGGTCTTGAGCGGTGTGGTTGCAGGTGCTCGCAGCTTTGCAACCAAGGTCGCGGCCATAGTATCGTTCGCCGCTCGGACACTGGCAGAAGAATTTGGTACTATTGTCGTCATGGTAACATCCGATATGTGCTCCTCTACACGAAAACAACACTAAACAACACCATCGGAAAGTACTGCAATCAGTATAGCAATAATCATGCTTTCTGACTTTTGAGCACGTAAACATCCTAATGACCCAAACTTGAACGTTTGGGCCCCTACAATCAGCACACCTGTTACCTGCAGATTGCCCAGAGTGTGAACCTCTAAGTCGTATCTATATCTTCCCCTTTCCCTACTCTTCGCAGCAATAAGTTAATTAGAAAAGATTCTTATGAGTTTGGATCTAATGAGAGGTTTCTCCCTCCATTTCAAATATGGTAGCTGCCACTCGCCCCATGATGGCGCGTACCTTCCTCTCATTGAAATTATCACTAATATCCACGAACCTTCCAAATTGGAAGGCCGTTGGTAAGCGCTATCGAGGAATGCTCAAGCTCATTTCCTTGCCATGGAATGTCTCAGTAGTCCTTGTCAGTCTGGTGCTACCTTGTGAACTTCTGACTGTTCAAAACCTGGTTTAGTTGGTGGACTCTAATGCATGACTTGTGCCCAACTGAATTCGTCATTTCCTCTTAGATAATAATACTGTTAAATCAGATAATAATGGATCTGAAGGCCGAGTTTAGACCACGATAGTTTGGTTATACAAACAATCTTTGGGGATGGAAAAAGGGCATATGGATACGAGTGTAACTGTTCGCCACTCTAACTTGATTCTATAATTAACATAGTCAGAAAGTGCAACAACTAGGCAACAACTGATAGAGTGCGGAGGCATTCGACGACCTGACACCTGGCTGCAACACATGTCCGAAGCGCTAAACAACAGCCTTCCAATACGGAAAGTTTTGCTTTTAGGTAAAGGAGAGACCATAGAGGGGATGGTAGGCGTAGCAAAAATGAGCACAAGCTAAAGCCCCACGGGAACAAATACAGTCAGTCGACTGTTACTGAACTTTAATGAGACTAGTGAGATACTTGACAAAACCGTCCTCTTGAGCCACCCAAGTTGGGCGGTATGCTGCTTTCTTGCTTCAAATTGTAGTTAGACCGCTTTGTCAAGTATCATGACATGTCAAAAAGCGTTTGATCATGTCAAACATCAACGTCTGTGGGTACATTATTCACCCTGGCAGTCAATAGCAGAGTACTGCCATGGTTGACTAGTTTTCTGCCTGGTCGTTCTCAGCATGTCAAGGTGTGCGAGTCCCTCTCTGATGCGGTCCGATGCTCAAAAGGTGGGCCCCAAGGCGTTCTTGAGCTGCTTCTCTTTGTCCTTTACATGAGTGACATCACCGACGTCGTACCTTCCATTGTTATTCATCAGGAGTTTCGCAGCCGACCTCATCCTAAATTTGTCTGATGCAGATCTGGACACTGTTTGGAGGACTTTGACTACGGCTATTACACGTCTGTGTGAATGTTCCTAGGAAATTGGGCTTCTGCTGAATGCCGGCAAAATCTAAGTCATGGCGATCCAACCTCGGGCACTCACTGACAACATACCAGTTATGAAATGTAAGGATCAAGCCTCATTTTCAATTGAGGTAACAGTTAAAACTGTTACCTCAACTGCCAAATACCTTGGCGTAACAATTGATGACCAGCTATCCTGGCAGCCGCATATCTCAAGTGCTTTGCGGAAGGTGTCAGTCGCCATCAGCCAGCTATGGCACCATACGTTATCTCTGCCCACGAGAGCTCACAGACTTTTGCACATTGGCATTGTGCTAACATGGCTAATGTACGCATCCAATGCATTCATTCCGTCGCTGACACAGAAGCTGCAGTCGTTTAATATAATCCAGCAAATCTGACATATCACATTTATATCTCCTTCCCTGTTCTTCACCGCTTTCGTATCCACTCGTTTTTAAGTTAACACAATAAGGCCTTTTTGAAATGACTGTCCAGCTCGTTCTGTTTACCGCAATTCTAAAATTATTATTATTGTTTCCGTTTTGACACGCGTGTAATCGAACCGAAAATTCGACTTGTTGATGCTTCGTATTTCCATTTTGCGACTACATGACTGTATTATCTCCTCGACTCCTCGTCGGCTATTTAAATAATTTATATTAATTTTCAGTCGATCTCTTACTAAAGTCCACTGCTGTCAACTTCAATCTTGAGGTGTCAAGATAGGCTGGGCCACGAGATATAACTTGAGCGATGGGACACATTGACACATCATCGATCATAGTGTTGTATTCATCTGACATATGACTGCAAAGTGTACAAACGATACAAGAGGCACAGTTTCATAAGATGGAAAGTAGAACCACAAAAGAGAACAACTGCTTGAAGATTCCACATGAAATTTTCTATTACAGTATTGTGGTCAACATATGCCGACAGCACATGCTCTAGTAACTCAGCTGCAAACAGTTGTCGCTGTTGCTGTTGTGGCTCTCATAGTCGCCAATGCTGCAGTCGTTGTGGTCACCATCATTGTTGATGCTGTTGCTGTTGTTCACCAGCTCGTGCTTGGCGCCTAGTTGATGGGTGGCAACATCTTGCTTGACAGGCCGGTGCATTTTATGCACGGCGCAAGTCGATTACACACAGCAGCAGTTTGCTGGACTACAACTCGAGTTTCGCCCCTCTTGGACTGGTCAGGTGATCTTGGGCAAACATCACCTGGATGGAATGATGGTTTGGAGACTCCTCACATGCAGGTCTGTATGGTATCTGTAAATTAGCTACAACCTGTTTAAAATGCATACATTCTGTGGGAAATACTTTTTCTTTCCTTATTTCACATCAAACACAATCCTACCGAAGAGTTGTGAAGGAAAAAGGAAAACCCCGAAAGAGCAGGAATGATTAATGGTAGGAGCCATGCAAGGTGGCTGTGCCAGGGCGGCAGACCAAGCTGAGCCAACACATTGTCTCGGCTTCATTGCCCGAACTACCCACTGTAGAAATGAGAGAGAGAGAGAGAGAGGTATCGAGTGAGAAACTAGAGGCACACAGACAGATTGAATGACAGACAGACAGAAACATGCACCTATACAGTATAATGCGTTATGCATCCTCTGGGTGATGTCTCTGTTGAGTGACATTGGTGTAGTTCGAAGTACAGTAGATGAGAATACTCACAAGTGCGTGACTGACAATCCGGTGAAGAGATTAAATGGCAACTTCTTGTATTGATTATATCCAATCCATCTACACACAGATGAAGTTACCAACAGTTTTGCTACTGACACAAAAATAGATCCTGGCATGTCTTCTATAATTACGACTATGGAAAGCATTCAGTGGCATGTCTGATCTAATCTGTAAAATTGTAGTTTCAAATGTTTGAGAATTGTTTCGGAGCACTGTCCATAGACTTTTGAAGTAGACACTATCAGACTGAGCAGGCAGGTGTACTGGGATTTTCTAAGACCCTGATCGAGAAACAAAGTGTACCAGGTTCAAGTCCTGCTCGGAAGCGGAAGGATGTTTCCAGCCACAGTTAATCGGGAACTCGTGGCCTGGCATGGGGGAAGCATGGATGCAGCGAATGGGATTTTGGGTCTCTGACCACTTTGTGGTAGATCTCCTCACCTCCCGCCGCTTTAGAAGCTGCACATGCGCCTTGATTTAAGAGGGTGGTGGCGTGCCTGCGGATACAGAAATCTCACGCGAACCATGAATTGTTCTTGAACACAATAACAAATCTATTCGATGTCACTAGTTCTAAATTCCAAGGTCTCGAAGGGGTTTAATTAAGGCATACACATCTGTGCCACAACAATAATACCAATAATAATAATAATAATAATAATAATAAAAACGAGAGCAGTACTACACAGCAGAGCACCTCCAGCACATACTGGTTGTGGAGCGAGGAACGCATTGCGTCCCTGCGTGAAGCTCTTGCTACCTGCAATCTGCAGTACAATCCACATCCCACTGACCCTCAGCCAGTAACCTCATTCTGGAACTTCTGGAGAGACCAGATACTGAAACTAGCCGTGCGCCACTGCCAAGTGACCAGAAGCAAATCCCGCAAAAATTCTACGCCCACTCGTCCCTGGATGACGAAGGATCTCCTCAGCCAGATCAAAACAAAGCACAAACAGTTCCGCACCTACAAGGCGACCCAACTAGACTCAGATTGGAAACTGTACACAGCCAAGCGTAACCGAGTAACCGCTCTTTTGCGACAGGCTAAGTCCGATTTTGTCCAGCAAACAACGTCAACAGGTACAAACCTCCACCGTCTACTGAAGCACCTGAAGAAACTGCCTAAGCAAACTGTTGGTACGACCAAGTCATCCCGCAGATCTCCACTAGTAACTTGCTCAGTTTAGACCAAGACATGAACAACTAAAGTAGTAGAAGTAGTACATAACCTTCGGTAGTAGTAAACCTACACGGTGCTGTTGTGCACATGTCTGTACTGTTCCCCGGCCCTCAGTTACCTCAGCCTGCTCATGACTACTGTGTGTTGTGTCCTGTTGATGTCCCTATTCATAACTGCTGCATTGCCTTTCATCTTACACCCGCTGGTTTGAAGTGTTGTGCACAGTTGCATGACCTGTAGCTTCTTGTTGTATACATTGCATGCATCATAGGAGTCAATGTGTCATATCATGTTTCTCATGCTATTCATCCTTGCTCACGCTAGACTAGACGTCTGCGTAGGGACAGCTTGCTGGTGTGCTGCATGCATTCATTGCTAGTTCCATGCATAGTTCTTTGCCCTACTGTGGCGGGAAGGACGTCCCGTGCAGCCGCAATCATCAGCTGCGCTACGGAGGTTCAGTTCCGGCAAACATGCGTGCGGATTTGCATTTTGCTGCTTGATTTTGATGTATTTGTAGTTAGTGCAAGGAAAGAGCTTGCGGGTGCAGTTGTTGTTTTCTTTCTCCTTGGCTGTTTCTGTTACTACCAGGTACTTGTAGTGGCTAACCTTTTTGAAGTATTGCAATCAGTTTGCAATGGATACAGTCTTCTCCTAGTGATAATATTCTATAAACCTCAGACTCTGTGTTGTGAGTGAGAATACCGGCGAAAACACAAACAATTCCCACACTATCGACAGCCAACTCCACTGCAGCCACGGCTATGGAGAAGGCAACAGCTCTCAACAAGTTCTTTATCTCCCAAAGCCAACAGTCCATCGACAAGACCGCCTGTACCACACCAGACATCAACACTACCCCTGACATCAGTCATACTCTAAATACAATCGCAGCAACAGTGTAAGAGGTCGAGAAGCTTCTAAGCAGTCTAGACACTGGCAAGAGCCCAGGCTTTGACAACATCCCAACTCGGCTCTGTTATGTTCGTTCGAGCTCACATCAACAAACGACATTGGAGAGATCAAAATATTCCTTGAGTTGTCCCCAAGTCCAAACTAAAACAACAATGATCCGTCATCACCAAAAACTCTAGAACAGGTACGGTAGAGATTCCCCCAAGGCAATCTCCCCACGTGACCTGATACAGATATTGTACGCATACATCACAATTCCCCTTTCCGCGAATATGTCCAACTTGGACATATTGATGAAAGATAAGCATGCAATAATCATGACAAAAAATATAATGAGAGAGAAACGCAATGATGCGGGTGTGGTATTGTGACAGTCAATGCAATCGAATACTTCAAGTAAGTGCTAGACAATGCAGAGATATAGTGGAAAGTCACCGAAAGCTATGCACGTGCACAGAAGGGTTATCAGGAAATGCCGTACATACTACAGACACTGCGACCAGTACGGAGTTCACAGCAAGATGACACTGTGTGCATTACAAATCCAAACGCTGCGTTGGATGTCGATGACGACTACCCCGTCTCACAGGCGTCGGGTGTTCAGGTGAGGTCGCCACGGGGTTCTGAGAATCCGCAGGGCCAGAACCCGAAACTGTGGACGTGGGAACAAAAGCATCAGACGAAGATGAGGTGGATGCCTGTGGCTCAGCTGCCTGTCGAAGAAATTTGCGATTCCGCCAAAGTACTCGACCACTGGGTAGCTTTACCTGGTACTTACGATGTTGACCGACTGCGACTACTACGCCGGAAGAATTCCAACGCTTGGACTGTGGATCTTGGAGGAGAACACGTGCTCCCACCGGAAGGGCTTGCAATGGCTGACCAGCGGTTTCGCGACGAGCTGCTGAAGAAACTGCTGCTGCTTCCTTGTCGATCCGGGCTGCTGAGCGTTGCCAAACATGTGCGAATGAACTCCGGTGGGCGGGCACCAACGACCGCAATGGATGGCCAAATAGAATTTGTGCGGGTGATAATCCACCTTCCGTCGGAGTGTTGCGCCATTCCAATAGCGCAGCGTCAAACTCTTCATCATTCAAATTACCATTCTGCGTTGATTTTGCGACCAAGTGTTTCATGGCTTTAACTGCTGCTTCGGCATGCCCATTTGATTGGGGGTTGTGAGGGCTTGACTGGCGATGACTCACTCCCCACCGGCCGAGGAACTGCGCAAATTCCCGTGAACTGAACTGTGGACCTCCGTCCGAGCGAAACTGAACCGGCACCCCAAGTGCCACGAAATTCTCACGGACCACTTTAATAACATCTGCCGAGGAGGGGTCCCTCTTGTACCACACCGCGATGCTCGGCCAGCCTGATAGACGATCGACATAGGCCAGATACGTATTCCCAGCATACGAGAATAAATCAGCAGACACTTCCTCAAACACGCGATCTGGCAGTGGAGCAATCACTGGTAGCTCTGGCCGATGGCTGGGGAGGTAGTAGCGACATTGCTCACAGTTTCCCACCACAGTGGTGATGTCAGAGGATATCCCTGGCCAGTAAACCGTCTGACGGGCACGGCGCTTGGTGCGTACAATGCCTTGGTGGGATGCATGTAACTGTTGGAGGACTCGTGGCCGCTCCGACGACGGAATGACTAAACGGGAGCCATACAGAATTAGCCCATCATCTATAGTGAGCTGCCCTTGGAGTTTGCTAAAGTGTCTCACTTCCTCGTCCGAGCTGTGAGTGTCACTAGGCTTTGGGAAGCCGGACAGGACCCCTTGGATGACTTTCTGGTAGCTGGCATCGGCCGTGGCCGCCTCCGTAAGTTGCGTAAGCCAAGGGTCAATCAAAGAACCACCATGGACTGCTGATAGTGGTGTCTCGTCCAAAACATTTGCGGCAACGAGAGATGTGGCAAAACGAACCTGAAGCTGTACATCCGCGGATTCTGCTGCATCTGCTGCAGATGGGTCACAGACTGGTGCTCGTGATAGGGCGTCTGGGATGGCGTGATCCTTGCCCTTGCGCCAAGTAGTGCGAAATACAAAGAGAGTCAACTTGCTCTTCATCCGCTGTAGACGTGGATTTTCGACCATGTCAAGCGTGTAATCATTCAGAATCGGTACCAGTGGCTGATGATCCACCACCAACTCGAACGAGGGCAGGCCATGCAGATACAGCCGACACTTCTGCATAGCCCACACAACAGCCAACATCTCGAGCTCCACCATGGCATACCGCGATTCGGTGTCGCTTAAGAATCGCGACCCACACTGAACTAATCTCCATGTTGCCTCATGTCGCTGCAGGAGGGCGAAACCGAGACCTTTGCGGCGAGATGCATCTGTTTGCAGGACTGTGGGTAGCTTTGGATCAAAGTGGGCCAGAACAGGAGGAGATACCAACGCTGCTTTGACTGCCGTGAACGCCTCATCATGCGGCGGTAGCCATACAAATGCATTCCTTCTGCTCAACAGTGGCCGGAGTGAGTCTGCAGCCGTACTCACGTCGCTCGTGAAATCACCCAGTTGCGTAACCATTCCCATGAATGAGCGCAGCTCGCGGAGGTTAGTAGGCGTGGGGAAGTCCTGAATTGCGCGTACCTTCTCGTCGTCTGCAATAACACCATAACGAGACACATGGTATCCGACGTATGGCACCTCCTCTGATGCGAAGTTGAACTTGGTCGGATTCAATGTAATGCCGTGCTGCCGGCACCGTTGTAGAAGTACCCAGAGGTGGCGAACATGCTCTGGAAACGACTCGTCGTATGCTAGGATGTCATCGACGACTTTCTGTGTGTTGGCAACATCCGCCAAAGCTATATCGCCACGCCGACAGTACTCATCACCGGTGGACACCAGCCCCATGGGGGAGCGCAGAAACTTGTACCGGCCCCATGGTGTAATGAACGTCGTTAACATCTGGCACTCTTCTGCGAGTGGGACCTGCCAATAACCATGGGTGGCATCCAGAGTGCTAAAATAGCGGGCGGTACGTGGTACTGCGGCGACTGCTTCCTTGGGAGTCTTCATGGGGTAGAATGCACGATCCACATGCTTGTTCAGCTTTACCAAGTCCACACATATACGGATACCTCCATTCGACTTCGGTACCAGCACTAAGGGATGACACCATTGGGACGGTTCATCTCCTAGTGGTGAAATGACGCCTTCTCGCTCCATGTCCGTCAATAACGACTTCACGGTGTCCCGATAGGCAAACGGGATAGTGCGTGCACTGTAAAGAGCGTGGGGTACTGCATCAGACCGGATGTGAATCTTCATGGGTTCCCCTTCTATCACACGCAGGTGGTTCTCTGAAGAAAACACATCGGAGAATTCCTGCATCAAATACTCACGAATGGCAGTATGTTGAGCTGTGGATGGGCAAGCTGGTACATCACGCAGTTTCTCTGGTAGGTCTGCCTGAGTGGCATCAACTGTAGCTTTCTGGATCTGAGGTTGCGCTGGACCCTCTTTGTAGATGGGCTCCGGATAGTTGGATGGGATGATTCCAAGATCCAAACAAGCATGCCATGACAAAAGGCAGCCCTCAAAATCCTTACACACCAGGACACGCTGTGAGGTAGATTTCTTGCCATAGCTGATTCTGAGCAGGAGCGTCCCTGCACACTTCATCGCCGAGCCATTAGCCGCGAGAACGGAAGAAATACCAGGAGGACGGAGTTGTTCATCCTGGATGCCCAGAAATTCAAGGACGGCATACCCGAGAATGCTGGCATCTGCCCCTGTGTCCGGGGTAGCCTTGCAGTGCCCATACACCATGTCTGCTGTAGTGTGACTCAGAATGATCGGGACTTGAGGAGCTGGAGCATGCACAGTAGACGAGACATCTAGAACCCGGACGGAGTTCGCTTTTGGAGACTTGTCCTTAGATTTCTCACAGACTCTAGCGAAATGACCCCTGACTCCACAGTCGTTGCACGTCACCTTTCGTGCCGGACAAGGTCTGCCTTCCGGATGGGCAGGATGGCCGCAATATCGGCATAATTTATTGTCGGTCGTCAGCTTGCTCACCGCAGGAAACGCTGCAGTACTGAGCTCAGCCGCGTTCTGTGCTGCAGCTTCTTGGCTGCGACACAAGTCAATCACCTGCTGACAGCTGGGAAAGGGCGATAATGCCAACAACTTTTTCCGCACTTCCCCATCCCTGACACCTGACATGAGCTTGGTAGCCATGCGCTCATCACGACACGTTGAGCACAAATCTGCGTTGGCCGCCAGCTTTTTCAGTGTGATGTAGAAATCGTCAAACGTCTCCCCGGGCTCCTGGCGGCGTTCTTCAAATGCTACTCGGTCGAGAGCAATATTTCTGCGGCCACGCAAAAATTTATGGATGTTGTCCAACAGCTCTTCGACTGGACAGACATCTGATGTCTCGAACTGTAGAGCAAACTCTAAAGTCGATCTCATTTCTACTGACAAACAAGATCTTAGCAGGGCGCACTGTTCACGGGGAGTGAGACGATCCAGACGAATAAGAGTAGCGTAGTCGTTCCACAACGAACGCCACGACACAAAATCTAACAGAGACACCGACGATTGCAGCGGAGGTGGTGGTGTGGCATTGGGTAATTTCGGAGGAGCAGACCGACACTCCTCGGCATCCCCAAGTGGCTCAGATACCTCGCTGCCCCGCGTACGGAGTCTACCCCGCGTGGGGGTATTCAGAGCCACCAACAACTCGCGGTGTTCTTTCTCCCGACGACGGCTGTCCTCGACCATTTGTTCAAGAAACTCCTGCATCCATGCAGGGCTGTCCGGTTCCTCCCAGCTCTCCTTGGCTGGTGAGGCCGCCGCAGCAGAACTTTTTTGCTTGCGTCCCATTATTTATGGACTGTTCACTGCGCCATGTTATGTTCGTTCGAGCTCACATCAACAAACGACATTGGAGAGATCAAAATATTCCTTGAGTTGTCCCCAAGTCCAAACTAAAACAACAATGATCCGTCATCACCAAAAACTCTAGAACAGGTACGGTAGAGATTCCCCCAAGGCAATCTCCCCACGTGACCTGATACAGATATTGTACGCATACATCACAGGCTCCTGAAAGAAACTGCAAAGGAAATCTCCCCATCTCTCACTAGTCTCTACAATCTGTCCTTCAGAACCGGAGAAATACCACAGGATTGGAAAGACGCAACTATTACACCCATCCCCAAGTCAGGCAACCCCTCCCATCCTACCAACTACCGACCCATCTCCCTGCTCAGTATAATATCAAAAACACAAGAAAAATAGTCCACTCTCCTCTGTACAATCACATAGCACCACACTTACCCTCCAACCAATCCGGCTTCAGGAAACAAGACGGGACCAAACTGCAACTCGCACGGATCGTCCACCAGATATCCACAGCTAGGGATGCGGGGAAGCATGTTGTTACGTGTTTCTTCGATCTTAGTAAAGCCTTTGATCGTGTATGGCATCAAGGCTTGCTGAAAAAGCTGAGCCACTACGGTGTCGACGGCAAGGCTCACAAGTGATTTGAAGCCTACTTGACAGGACGCAGACAGCGGGTGCAGGCTGAAGGCACAACATCCGCCTTCATACCAATACCAGCGGAAGTGCCCCTGGGCTCGGTCCTGGGACCACTTCTGTTCCTGGCGTACACCATTGACCTGCCCACTGCCTGTGAAAAATGCTACAACCTCGTGTAGCCAGTTCGCGGACGACACCGCACTAATTGCCATTGCAGGCAGCTACATTGAGTGTGAGGCTGCGCTACAAAGAAGCGTCGATGCCGCAGCAGAATGGCTAGAGCGCTGGCACCTGCTAGTCAATAAAACGAAAACCGTCATCCTCCCGTTCTACCATGCTAACCGACCCCCACCACGGCTACCCGAAATAAAACTTGCGCAAACCCTACTAGAAACAGTAACACAACATCGTCATCTCGGCATCATCTTTCAGCACGACCTAAGATGGTCAGCCCATCTTGACTTTGTGCTTAAGAAAGCTGTAAAATCGTTCAATATTCTCTTTAGGCTCAAATCAACTCTTCACACTAAAAAACTCTCTCTCATTTACAAAACATATATCCTGCCTATAATTGAATATGCATGCATTGCTGTCACCCCGCTCTCAATCGCAGCTCTTGACCGTCTTGAGCGAATCCAGCGCAAGGCGGCCAGAATCTGCCTCCATCTCCCCCTCTACACTCCTCTGAATCATTCAACACTGCTCCATTGGCTCAAATGGCCGACAATGTTCTCTCGCCGCAAAGTGAAGCTCACCTTTCTTGCTCACTCCATAAAATACCAATATGCCCCACAACACATACGCATGCTCAACACCCCCGCTCAAGTTACGGCCCAGTATAGCCATGGCTGGCTATCGCCCACATCACCATTTCATTGGCTAGTGCCACGTGATTGTGAATAAATAATAATAGTAATAATAATACAGCCTTCGACACGCATGCACTTGGCACCTCCCACCATCCAGAACTGATCGCTGTAAAGACTCCCCACTGTACAAGTCCCTAGAATACTACAGTGCCCTCCCTGCTAGCATTCGTGACGTCTCCTCCCGACCTACTTTCAAACAAGAAATCTGCTCACTGCTGATTAACTCAATCTGCTCCTGCAGCGCTCACCCTCTCCCATACTTGTAAAGTTCAAAGTGATGTAAATCGCTTTCCAACTGTTTAACCCACAATCTCACCTTCTCATAAATTTATCTCTTATTGGCGATGGTGCCATCGTGAGAATAAAGAATTCAAATTAATGTTCCGGGCAAACGAGTTGGTGATCTCTCCCCCCCCCCCCCCCTATGTTTGCTAAGTGGTGATTACAAACAAAAAGAAAGAAAATCCACAGTTCGCGTGATACTCAGTTCGACTGAGTTTTCCGAATCTGTAGGAACACCCCCACCCTGAAGGATCAGGGTGCAGGTGCAGCTGCTGAAAAATGTGAGGTGGGTAGATCAGTCTCATTACCATTGGTCAATCACCGAAAATCCAATTCGCTGCACTCATGCTTCCCTCGAGCAAACAGGACTTGAAACTTGAACCTGGTACCCTCTGTTTCCTAATTAATCATGTGGACTATTCCACTATGCTCACATACCTGTAAGTGCAGAATTCACGGCTATTACAGCTGTTTATTCACATGACCGTCAGCTGCTCATTCTGATTTGACATTTGAGAATTGCTAAGCCTAAATCCAGAACGTATATGCAACAGCGATATGTTAAAAGCCAGCTTTGAGTTCCTGAGTATTGAGTTCAGGATCAACTTACATTTCAGTGATCTTGCGATTTTTAAGGAAGAAGTTTGGAGGCAAGTATGTCAGCCTGTTCACACGGCAACCACTGCAAATGATAAACGAAATTTAGGGCATAAGCAAAGACGCAAAGATACAGAAAAACATAGGACATACACACATACACACAGACTTGGTGATTTTCAATAACAACTCAAATAAAAACAAACTTTTCATTCAAGTGAAAATTTGATACTTTGGGCAGGGGGGTGTCACAGGGTGGGTTGGAGTGGTACAACTGGAGGTCCGGGGGGGGTTTGGGTCCCGCGGGGAAAAAATTCGGATTTTTCGGCCAACAGGGCACGTTTTAGCACTCTACAGCCGAAAAGGAGGGTTCCCCTATAGCATTAGACAACCCACTCCAGCTAAAAAAACGCTTCTCATGGATTTTTGGTATTTTCTGTACATCATCCATCATAGGTGGCCAAGGCAAAAATGAAGCTGTTCCCCTCGAAAAATTGCAAAATCCGAAGTACAGTCCTAGCGCCAGCCGCTGTGCAAAAACGTACATAATGTCATGTCCTGCGAAAGTGCGCTGCGCCGCATGCACTATGTACACGGCCGGCCCGCGGACAGTCGCGAAGTAATGTATTATGTTAGTTGCATTTAGAGAGAGAAGAATATCCTTTTTTTTGTTCGTTGGGATTGAAAGATCTGCCGGTGGACCGGAGAGCTACAACACTGGAAGCAGAAGAAAGGGCTTGCGGAATCTTCTCTGTCTTTGTGGCAACAGGACTTTAGTTTGCAAGAGGCTTTCGTACTGTCGTCGCGGACGCAATTCTTGTTGCTGCTACCAGAAAATTCGGAGAATGAAATGATCGTATGTCGTTTGGTGAAGCAGGTCGTGTTGGTGAACAGCTGCAGAATGTTCTGCCGCCGTAGAGCAGCAGTCCAAACACTTTTCAACTTCGGAGAATGAAGCGCTTCCCAAATTCGTTGACAAGCGCGGCGTTCGCGGGTGTAGATGTAATGCATTTTCGCATCAGCTTACAGTAGATCGTCAGGAGCCAGAGGTAGGTCTACTAGGTAGGTGTTGTTGTGGAAAGAATATGTTGTGGTAGCTGACAAGTAACACTCTAGTCGTAGCGTCTCTTGACTGTGCTGATCGCCATTGTAACATGGTCGATATTGGAAAATTTTAGTTCTGGACCCAGTGATCGCCGCCAGCACTGTTTCCGTCAAGTTTGCAGTGAATGCGTCCGTGAGGAATCCATCATCTGGTTGTCTCTACCCGTGACTCCAACCGCCTATCACAATGGATAGCCGCCTGGAGTCTTGAGGTGCTAGCTGCTAGGCATCAAGTCTGAACCAAATAATTGAATGCTCCTTGCAATGAAAATTGTGATGTTTTGTACAAGTCCGAAGATCCTTGAATTTTTTATTGCTTTTTGGATGAATTGGGTTGACCATCCTGGACGAAAAGTGGTACGACCATGGTCGTAGTGGTCGTACCGTGTGTGACGCCCCTGTTGGGGCTCCCTGGCCTCAAGCAAAGGTGAAAAGGTTTGAGTCCTGGTGGTGACAGTCTAATTTTCTCACACTTTCCCTTCTCCATTCCCTCAACGAGCGAATTTTGGATTCTTGGGGATTCCCCGCGTACTAGTGTGTGAGTAGTGTGTGTGTGTGTGTGTGTGTGTGTGTGTGTGTGTGTGTGTGTGTGTGTGTGTGTGTGTACAGGGATGCATCCCACCAGCCTGCGTCGTTGCACAGGACGCGTGGGTTTCGAAGTCTGAAGAAAATGTTAAAGGGGGAAGTTAAGGCAAAAAATAAAATTTCACCAGTTGTAGTCTTCGGGGTGCTGAGTCGAATGGTCGTGGTCCGAGGAAGCTGAGACGCTCCCTTCCTACTTGAATCCCAATCGAACTCGCGCACTTCCACCGAAACTGGGTGACTGCGCCCTACTAGATGGGGATTTGTATGCAAAATGTCACTAAAAGCGCCATTTCGTTCTTACTAAAGCATGGATGACCGCGATTGGCCCATATGTTGTAGTCTTTTGGACGCTGACTCGATTGGTTTTGGTCCGAAAAGGCTGCGACGCAGCGTTCCTCCTTTATTCCCAATCGAACATGGTTGAACAAGCGGTCACGTGCTCCTGCGTACACCAGTCACCTGGTCACCGTGCCTGCAGGGTACAACTTACTAGCCTGTTTGACCTTTTTTGGGTGCAGTCCTGTCACTCGAGTTGAACTCGAGTTGAACCTTGGTGTGAAAGTTGTCGCCTGCTGGCGTGGTGACCAGGTGATCTGCGCACCCAGGAGCACCTGACCGCTTGTTCAACCATGTTCGATTGGGAATAATGGAGGAACGCTGCATCGCAGCCTTTTCGGACCAAAACCAGTCGACTCAGCGTCCAAAAGACTACAACATATGAGCCAATCGAGGTCATCCGTGCTTTTATAAGAACGAAATGGCGCTTTTAGTGACATTTTGCATACAAATCCCCATCTAGTAGGGCGCAGTCACCCAGTTTCGGTGGAAGTGCGCGAGTTCGATTGGGATTCGAGTAGGAAGGGAGCGCCTCAGCTTTCTCGGACCAAGACCATTCGACTCAGCACCCCGAAGACTACAACTGGTGAAATTTTAATTTTTGCCTTAACTTCCCCTTTAATTGGTCTCTGTTGGTATGGCAGCTACACCATAGCTTACAGTCCGTTTCAAAAAGATTTACAATCCTGGCGATCGCCCGCGGAGTTTGGCGTCTTACCGTATGAGCACTTGAGCGCTGCCTGGAAAAACTCACTGTGAACTCGAAGAAATATTCCGCGCGAAAGCAGGAAAAATGACAACTCACTCACGTTGACACAGTCATGTACGTCTGGTTTACAACAAACGAGTTCTTCCTCGTATCGACAATGGAGTCAGAGAGGACATGTCGAAACGAAAGTGTTGTAAATGTTGACGAGCTGCATGGGTCCGTTTTGTGACCAAAATAGTTTCTTTGAGCTGCGATGCAATTTACTCACTGTGTGACGAAAACGACATCGACACGGACTCATTCCCAAGGCCATGACTTGGCAAAGCTATCCGTGTGACTTCGACGACATTTTGAGAAAAGCAGACGCTTGTGAACGCTGATAGAAGACGGCGTTGACTGCTAAATTCAAATAAATTGGCGATCTTGAAATACTAAAATATATCTCAAAAAGCTACAGCGCGATGACTTCCATTATAATTCACTCACACCATTGCAGTGTTGTGGGTCTGGTCACATGGCGTGAGCCAGTCAAGTGTCAGTCAGTTCGGCAGGAAGCGCGAGCTCCAACAACAAGTCGTTTGGTGTAGCCATCTTCTTTGTCTTGTACCAGCTTGATCACCAAAACAATGAAAAAAAAAGTTTGACTTGAGGATAGGTTGGGATTTGAACTCACAACTTCATGGTCAGCAGACAGCATTCATAACCACAAGGCCAAAAAGGAAAGGATAAATCGTAGGTTTTGATGAAAAATCGATACTGGCTTCCTGGGCAAATTGTAAACCATGGGAAAAGGCCGGAAACCTGGCCGAAATTCTAACTCCTTAACGGTTGGTCCCATTGTTCCGAAACCTTCACAGAACAATTTGCCGTGTCCTAACAAGCCATTCTATGTACTTTGTTGTCCAAATTCCCCTTATCTTCATACTTTTTAAGACCCAAACCTGATTGTAAATCTTTTTGAAACAGACTATAGTGGTTAGAACATCACTGGCATACCTCTATTTTTTGGCTACCAGCATTTTTCAGCCTGAAACCTTTGTTGCCACGTTAAAATCAACAGCATAACACGCAGTGCTCATTTAAATGGTTTTGACAATAGTGTGTCATATTATCCATAGCCTCTCCACGATGTGTATGCCGTGCTTCGCTTCTCTGTATCTGTCTCTCTGTGTTTCTGTGTGTGTGTGTGTCTGTGCGCGGGTGAGCGCGTGCGTGCGCGTGTGTGTGCGTGTGTGTGTGTGTGTGTGTGTGTGTGTGTGCGTCTGTGAGTCCGTCTGTAACCGTTTTCCTCTCCACGCCCTGCTACATCACTACCTGTATGCGCAACATCTAACACCTTACTTCTACACTAACAGCTAGCACCGTGTTCGTCAACATGCACTCTTCTTATCTTTGTGCTAAGCTTTCACCTCATCCCGCCGCTCTTGCTGATTGCAGGCTGCGTTGCGTTGATCCTATATAGTTCACTGCTCAGTTTTGCTCGGTTGTCTTATTCTGAGATTCACTCAATACTGTTACACCGCGTGTCTTTCTGCATGTCTCTGTCCCTGTCTCTTGGTATCTTTGACTCCTTCTGTCTGTCTCTTTGTCTCTTTCTGTCTCTCCGCCTCTTTGTTTCTCTCTGCCTCTGTCTGCCTCTCTCTGTGCGTATCTCTCTCCATCTCTGTCTCCGTTTTTTTTTTCTCTCTCTCTCTCTCTCTCCATTTCTCTCTCTTTTTTTAAATGCATGAATTGCTCCCACATTGGGCTGACAGGCCGTAGCCTAACAGAAAGCTGGCGCGTACAAGCTGTGATGCAGCACTCGGTGTCACAATGTTATACCCTCCCCACCTCCCATAGCATGGCTACCTATCTGAAAACATAGCCGAAGACTCTACTATCTCTAGCCGCTGCAAAATGTACAAACCTGTATAGTAAACGCAGCCCCATACCGGGGGCTCCTTGCAGTAAATATTGCCGTAACATAAGCGTAAAACAAAACGTAATCTGGATATTGATGCAGATATCAGATACTCAGCATGCAGGTATGATAACCACGTCGTAGCCGTTCCCTCAAGTTGCTCATGGTGTCACCATGGTCACATCCAGTATTCGTTGAGCTCTCGTCATGTCCTTTCCTGAGCGTAGATCTTCAGCAGCCATTCCCTCGCGTTTCAGTCGATGTACATACACCGCATCATTCCGTTGCTCTACTCCTGAGTCAAGCGCCCGTCCTCGGTCGCCTCCTTTTCTGGTCCTTCGTGACCCAGCTTGAGACTCTTCAGGTGAACCGTGACACGTCAGGTGGTTGGAGCGGCGGAAGTCAAACCATCCTCTGCTACCGTTCAGCATGCACAGGAGGACGGTGTTGT